TCCACAAGAAATTGTAGATTACATTGCAGATAAGAAGGATGTTTATGAATAAAATATCAGACCCCTTTTTTTCACTGAGAGAAGACTCAGAAGATGCTGGCAAGTGTCTGGAAGTGAGAACACGTTTTGGCATTATTACTGCCTTTGACAGAGTGATTCTGTTTAGACTTGTATTTAAATTGTCTGTTTTGCCCTTTGAAAATAAATCTATAAAACCAAAAAAAAAAAAATAAATAAATAAAGGGAAATTCCTTTCCTCTCTCCCATGCCAGGCATCAAACTCAGCCCCATTCCATTATACTGTGACAGTCTTTGAGGCTGGGGGTCTTGAGGAGAGGGGCTCTACCCAACCCCACCACCCCAGAGTCTACAGGGCCTAGAATACCATTGCGGACCATCTTGAGTGCTTGGGTCAGGGCCATATAGTGGAGAGAAAGCCACCCACGGGATGGCTCTGCCTTCTCCCCAAGGAAAGGTAGACTTACTCCAGCCATGTTCCTCCTTGTCAGACATGTGTCTGTCTGTCCGACCAGCCTCCAACAGATGATCCTAGAATCCTTGTGCCTCTGTGTCATGGTATAGGAGCTTGAGCTTGACTTCAGAGAGATCTGAATTTCCACTCTGGTTCAGCCACTTCCTAGTAGTGTGGCAAGTGGCTGTGCCACTCTGAGCCTCAGTCTCCCTACCCACCCTATGGGAACCCTAACCCTTCTTTCTCGGGGCTATTTGAAGATGACAGGATAACGTGATGCTCTTATTTCTCTGTCTCTCCGCAGGCAGCCAGGGCTCAGGCTGCTGCCTGGATACCTTTCCCCACAGTTGATGTTCCGGACCATGCCCACTACACCCTGGGCACAGTGATCCTGCTGGTGGGGCTCACGGGGATTCTGGGCAATCTGATGGTCATCTATACCTTCTGCAGGTACCTGGTTGGTGGGCATGGGCACTGAGGGCAGCTGGCCATGCAAAGACAGGGCAGGAATTCTAGTGCCAGTTCTGCCAGGGCTCCGTTGAGCCTGGGTGGGGACACCACGGCCAGGCCCTCAGTGGTCTCAGGGCAGGCCTCCATCTTCCAGCTCAGGGAAGGGGCCAAAGAGTAGTCCAGGGCAACTTGAGTGGCACATGCCAATGGGCCCCAGGCATAGTTTCTGTAAGACAAATGTCCCTACAATACCCGAGCCTCTGTCCATTCTACCCTGCTCTCAGCTTACCTCCATGTCACCTGCCCCAGTGGGTGTCCTTCCTCTGCCTCAAAGAGCAGCCCAGGCAACAGGACCCTTAATCCTCAAGACTCTCAGCAGCCACCCTTGGAAACCACCCCCAGCTTCTTTCCCCACTTGCCCCATTCTTGGGCTGAATGGTGAGACAGGAGGTGAAGAAGTGAATTCTGACCCTACTACCTATTAGCTGAACCGACTTTGAACAAGTCACTTATCCTCTGGGAGTCCGTTTTTCTTGTTGGCAAAACAGAGTTGTGATTGATTTCACGGAGTCAATGTGATGGTTAAGTAAATCTACGCCTGTGCAGTGCCCATCAAATAAGTGTTTGAATCCTGGCAGTGCCACTTACTGAGCCTTGTTATCTGGAAGAAGCCACTTCCTGGGTGGGAACCTCCGTGTTCCCATCTGGAAAAGAGGGAGGGGATAGATGCAAAGATGGATAATTATGGGAGAGAAGTCTGTGAAAGTGCCTGACCTGTAGGGCACAGCCTGGGCCATCCCCGAGGGTGAAGACTGCAGAAATACTGAAATGAGGGGGACAAGGAGGGGCACCTGAGGAGGAAGATGTGAGAAGCTCTGCGGGAGGAGCCACTTGGGAGAACTTGGCCTGGAGGGGTTCAGAGGAGTGAGGGGTGTGTCCAAGGAGAGAGTGTGGGTCATGCACAGGGTTCCAGAGGGAGAGAGGAGGAAACAGATGAGCCCTAGAGCTAGCTCCTGCTTCTGCTGGGCTGCACGACACTCTGGGAGTGGTATTGCTCTCCATACAGGGCAAGAGTTGCTGTCTTTCAGGGGACCTCACTTCTTAGTCCACACTGTCAGGCTCCAGAGCTATCTGGCTGGTGCTGGCTAGGCAGCAAGACGGATTGTGGCCCAGTGGCTGGTGACTGTACATGTGCACATGTGTGCGTGGGCACACGTGTGTGTGTGTACATGTAGTTCAGGGAAGTTCCCCAGCAGAAGCACCTCCTGATAGCTTCTGACCCTCCACAGGAGCAGAGGACTCAGGACACCTGCCAACATGTTCATTATCAACCTCGCGGTCAGTGACTTTTTCATGTCCTTCACCCAGGCCCCTGTCTTCTTCGCCAGCAGCCTCCATAAGCGGTGGCTCTTCGGGGAGGCAGGTAGACGTTCAGGGTTCCCTCATGCTGGAGGGAGGAGGAGGGTTGTGGTGGGCCATGCCCACAGTGGAGGGTGGCCTTGGACAAGGAGGTGATATGCTCTTCCTGGGCAGAGAATGGGTGGCCGCCCTCAATCCCATGAGTGAGCAAGAGGGAAAACTCAGCTTCTGGGCCAGATGTGGCAAGTAGCCAGGCTGGAGAGGGGCTCAGGGCTGCTTTTCTGGAGAGAAGGCAGGAGCTGAGTATGTGACATCCTCAGACGCTCCCTCCCCTGGGGTACCTCATGGGCTCCTGCCAAGATCTGAGGTCAGGGAGCTGTGCCCACAGGCTGCGAGTTCTATGCCTTCTGTGGGGCTCTCTTTGGCATCACCTCCATGATCACCCTGATGGCCATTGCTCTGGACCGCTACCTGGTGATCACGCACCCACTGGCCACCATCGGGGTGGTGTCCAAGAGGCGGGCGGCGCTTGTCCTGCTGGGCGTCTGGCTCTATGCCCTAGCCTGGAGTCTGCCACCCTTCTTTGGCTGGAGTAAGTGGACTGGGGGAATCGGGAGAGGGGAAGATAAGCTGGGAAGGGCATGTTCAAGGGGCAGGTTGGTAGACTCGGGGTGGCCAGCTGGCAGGTGGGGCCAAGGGAGTGCTTGAGGCTCAAGGCAGATGGATATTCAGGGCACACGACTAGCAGCAGGGAAAAAACTGATGTGCCATCAGCAATCAGAGTGTGACCTGGGTTTCCCTCTCCCAGTACAGGGGAAGACCACATGGCTCTTGGGTGGTGGGAAGTGACAGGTGTATCCAATGCTGAGTTGCAGAGTCAGACACGCAGGCGTTGGGGTGTGGGGCTTGAGCGGGTAGGAGAGTTAGCAGGAAGGCACCCACCTTTCTGTGGCAGGATCGAGCACCTGGCCGAATCTGGTGGAGTGAGACCCTGGGGCTATGGTGAGGTCTCTGTTCCAAACTGGCAAAAATGGGCAGCAGTGGGCTTTGCCTGCTAAAACTGGCTTGGAAAGCTCCCCTCCAGGTGCCCTGCTTTCCGCACTGAACTGGGAAGGGCAGGGCTTGGGACCAGTGTTCAGGGATCCCAGACCCCACCTCCAGAGCCCCTGCTGGAGGAGGAGCCTGAATCACACTACCCTGAAGGCTGAGCACCTGCCCCCCACCCCGGATTCCAGGCGCCTACGTACCAGAGGGGCTGCTGACCTCCTGCTCCTGGGACTACATGAGCTTCACGCCATCAGTTCGAGCCTACACCATGCTCCTCTTCTGCTTTGTGTTCTTCTTGCCCCTGCTGGTCATCATCTACTGCTACATCTTCATCTTCAGGGCCATCCGGGAGACAGGCCAGTAAGAGCTGGGTGCGAGGAGGGGCTGGATGGGAGGGTAGCCATACCCCTTTCCAGGGTGCCCCTACCCTGCCCCCAGGCTCACATGTGCACCCACCCAGGACATTCCCAGCTCCAGGTGGGCAAAGACAAGCTGAGCACACGTGCGTAGTAGATGGGATGTCTAGAGATGAGAGCAACCTGGGTGCTTAGAGGAGTCTCAGAAGATGGGGACTTCTGAGGAGGGGACCTTTAGGCTAGGTCAGGAGGTCTGTGGGGGTAGAGAAGACATCACAGGGGGAACCACAAGGAGTCAGCTTAGGCTGGATGTGGTGGAGAACTTTTTGGGAGTCAGGGCTTCCTGCATTGGAGGGAATGACCAGGTAGGTCCAGGCAGCCTCCCCCACAGCGGCCATGATCATGGCACTCACTGCATCCAGAGTGGGGTCAGACTCGGACTTTGCACCTGTCCTAGGGCTCTCCAGACCTTCAGGGCCTGCGAGGGTGGTGGTAGGTCCCCCCGGCAACGGCAGCGGCTGCAGAGAGAGTGGAAAATGGCCAAGATCGAGCTGCTGGTCATCCTTCTCTTCGTGCTCTCCTGGGCCCCCTACTCCATTGTGGCCCTGATGGCCTTTGCTGGGTGAGCAGTGCCTAAGGGGCTGGGGCAGGGGCCGGAGAGGGGAGGGAGGAGGGTAAGGGGACACTCCTCAGTCTAAGCCCAAGCCAGCCATCCCCACAACCGAAGTCAGTCCTCAGAACTTTGTTCATTCTCCCCGGGGCTGTAAGGTTCCCTGCAGGAGATGGGCCCACCCACTCCTGGAGGCACTGGAACACATACCAGGTTAGGGGTGCGGGGAGCTCTGGACCACAGTGGATTTGACCTGAGGGCCTACAAGGGCTACCAGGTCCTGCCAGATCCCACGGGAACACTTGACTCTCCCTGAGTTTCTGGCTCCCTCTTCACCTGTAGACACACAGCCAGGAGAGCCACTCACCCCCTGCCTGCTCGTCCTTTGTGGCTAGAGTCTGGGGACCTTGATGTCCACAGCAGCATGGACATAGGCCAGAATGCAGGAGCACTTTGAGACAGTGATACTTATTAATCCTGGGACTTGTTTGGGTACAAGACCTCCTTGTGCAGGAATGGCCTGGTCCTCCCTAAAGATCTCTGGTGAAATCACTCTAAGGCAGCCAGGGAAGCAATGGGTCTCAGGGTTGGGTGGGGTGGGGGAGGAGATGGGCGGAGGGCCAGAGTCACTGGGGGTGGGTAGGGCTTATTGCCAGCAGCACAGGCTCCAAGCTATAGTGGACCTGGTGGAATCTCCCAACCTGGCACATCTTCCTCTCAGCTGCCCTCCCTCAACTGCTCCCCTGGTTCCCGCTCACCTCCGGTCAGAACGCTCCCTGCATGGCAGTCCCTCCTGGGGGGCTGACTTGGCTGTGCTGGTTTGGGCCAGGTTGGGCTGTGCCCTGCAGGGCCTGGCCTAGAGGAAGAAGGTTCCTGAGTGGGAAGGTGGGCTGTGGAGGCTCTAGGAGGGCCAGCTGGTAGGGGGACCGCTGCTTCTCTGTCCTAGGTACGCGCATGTGCTGACACCCTACATGAACTCGGTGCCAGCTGTCATCGCCAAGGCCTCTGCCATCCACAACCCCATCATTTATGCCATCACCCACCCCAAGTACAGGTGCGGCCCTCCTCCGGGACCCAGCCCCAGGTCTCCAGACCCACCCTCATGGGCACAGAGGGCCTGAAGCAGTGAATGGGGGCAGAGGCCAGCCATCTTTCCTATCTCTCATGTATATGGGGACCTCTAGCAGCTGGGAACAGCCAGTGACCCTAGGTGGGGTCTGGAGCTGCTGTGCACCCCCTCTACCCACTGCCCCAGTTTCCCAGGGGGCTCAGCTTGGAGGGACATCAGAGCTCCCTGGGCATTGTCCAATCCTGACTATGGAATTTTTGGAGCCAGGGCCCAAAGGCAGCCAAGGTGGCCAATAAGCAGTGATACCTGCTAGAAAGAGAAACCCCCAGAGAGCAATGTCCTAGAGAGACCACAGTCGGGAGAGTTCAAGGGCCCTAGCAGAGGCCTGGGACTGGTTCTGGCCCAGAGCCTTCTCTGCTGATAGAATCCCGGCACAGCTGGCCTCTTGCATGAGGAGTCCTTCAGTGCTTTCTTTTGCCTGGTGGTGTCAGTAACTCCCCACCCTGCTGAGGCCAGCTGCAGGCTCAGAGGAGCGTCCCTGGTCCCCATTGGAAGAGATGTGCCTTGGGCCAGCCACGTGAGAGATGAAACCAAGCACCTTGCTGAACCTGCTACCCAAAGCCTCTCCCTCCATGCCCATGGCCTCAGTGTCTGTCCATCCCCAACACTATGAGCCTGTCAGTCTCTTTCACCCCAGCATCTGTCTGTCCTTCCTCATCACCTCCTCTGACTGCCAGTGTCTTTTTGTCCATCGCCATCACCCTATCAATTGTCTGTCCTCATAACTACAATGTTTGAAACTCCCCCAATTCCCCAGTGGCTTTCTCTCCACTCCCATTAGCCCTGTATCAGTCTGTTGGTCCACCCCCATCTCCTAACCAAATGTGTTGTTCTTGCAGAATGGCCATTGCCCAGCACCTGCCCTGCCTGGGGGTGCTGCTGGGCGTGTCGGGCCAGCGCACTGGCCCCTACGCCAGCTACCGCTCTACCCACCGCTCCACACTGAGCAGCCAGGCCTCGGACCTCAGCTGGATCTCTGGACGGAGACGCCAGGCATCCCTAGGCTCAGAGAGTGAGGTGGTAAGAATGCTGGGCCCTTGCTGGCTAGCACCTTGCCCTCCTTTCCTCAACCAGGCCAGCCTCAGGCCTCTGGGCAAGGCTGCCTCTGAGACTCAGGGACCCTCAGGACCCTGGGATGCGGTCAGGAAGAGCCCTTCACAACTGTTCCATGGCTTTCCCTTGCACCATCCGCCCCTGACAGGCAGGGACCCTGGTGAGGCAATGCATTGGCCCAAGGTCACCCAGGAGCAGGACCAGGACTGAACATGCATCTTCCAGTTCTAGGCCATCTCTCTTCCATGCTGGCATTATTCCAGGAGCTTAGAGCCACAGCTTGAAAAGACAGGCATTTGTGGCCCTAGAGGGGCCTCCCAAGAGACAGGCAGGAGCTAGCTGTCCCCAGGAGAGACTTCTGTGCTATGGGCTCCTGTCTCCCAGCCACACCTGGGCTTCTCCATCACTGTAACTACAGGGCCCACCATGGGCCTCACCAAGAATCGCCACTGACCTTTTGCCACTGCTTCCATCCCTGGAGGTCTCTGTTAAGGGGCTGAGGGAGGAGCTGCCAGCGGTCCCTGCCTTGAACCACTGTAGTGCACGACATCAAAGAGTGAAGACAGACCCATCCCACATGCTTAGGAAGGCACACAAATGCACACACACACACACACATGAACACATGCACTCAGAATTTGCAGGGATTTGGTGACCAGCAAGCCTACAGTATCACAGACCCTGCCTCAGTGAATATCTGTGTGGACGACGGAGAGACACTTGGCTGGGGAAGAGGGCAAGAGCAAGACTCTGGAACGTCCCTCTCACCTCATAGTGACTCTCTCACCTTCCCCAGGGCTGGATGGACACGGAGGTGGCAGCTGTGTGGGGGGCTGCGCAGCAAGTGAGTGGACGGTTCCCCTGCAGTCAGGGCCTGGAGGACATGGAAGCCAAGGCCCCTGTCAGGCCCCAGGGACGGGAAGCAGAGACGCCTGGGCAGGTGATTGGGCCCGGCACCTGCCAGTCTATAAGGGGGTGGGGACAGGGGGCAAGTAGCCCAGGGAGTGGCCTGGAAAGGGGAGCTGTTCTTGTGGGCGGGCCCAATGCCCTCTGGGAATCACTCCCTCCCCACCCAGATTTCCCTTGCCTGCCTGGGGTGCCTGGGGGTCTCTGTGACTCCAAGATGCTCCGAGCATGCCTGAATGTGGTCTGTGACTGTACCTGAGAGTGTCTGTGATTGCGTGACCCTGACTATGCACATGCATGGCAGGTAGGTGGTGGTAGCTCTACAGTGCTGTGATGATTGTATAGCTTGTGTGTGTAAGTATGTGTGACCGTGACAGTATGTGGTATGTGGTGTGCAGTGAGTCAGTGGAGTGTAACTTGTGCATGTGTGTGACCATGTGCCCAGCACACATTCTCTGTCTCTGTGACACCACAGGGCATAGGACTGAGTATGCCCCAACCTGTCCGCTCTAAACTGCGTGTGCCCACGCTGTCTGCGTGACTGGAGGCTGGATGTACCTGGGGGGTGGGTGTTGTAAGCTGTTATGTGCTCGCTATGAATGCCCTGAGATTAGGATGTCACCCAGAATACTTGTGGCTATTAAAAGAAGGCCAGCTGTCAGCCCAAGTGCCTATGGAACGGAATGTCGATGGTGATTAGAGAAGGCCATATTCTGGAACGCTGGAAATGCCGTGTGCACAGGCCCCGAGGCTACCCTTCCCCCTCAGCTGACAGCTCTCTACCCAGCCCCTCTGTTCACAATGGTGCAACACCCCCAGCTCCTGGGATCTCTTGTGCTTCCCTAGCAAGCCTAAGACCATGTCCTGCCTTACGTCCCCAAGGCTGCCCCCTGGGTGTCCCAGAGAGGGGGAGCCCTGGGCTGCCCCCTGCAGTTGCAGAATCCCTGCCTCTCCCAGGAGCACAGCTCCCTCGATGCTCCAGCTCCAGGGACGACTCACCCCCTAGCCCTGACCCTGGGCACTGTGAACAGCCACAGAGGCCAGGACGGAGACAAGTAGTGAGGAAAGGCAGTGGAGGGAATGTCCTGGAGGGAATACTGGGCCGGGCTAGGGCACTGGGCAGGGAGGGACAGCATATCAGCCATCACCTAACACGTGTGATAAGCACTGCCATCGAGGTATCAGCACACAGGGTGCTGAAAGCAGAGGCAAGTCCCCGAGGCCTCCCCAGGAAAGGTGGAGGTGAAGCAAGGGTTGCCAGGCAGGACGGGGGTGATGTTGAGCAGTCCAGGCCAAGAAAAGAGCCTGTGTGAACACAGTGGAGCTACTGGGGAGCTTGGCGTGTCCTGGAACAGAATGTTGCTCTGTGACCCAGGAGCAGCCAGAGGGACTCCGGGAGCTAGTGGTGGGGAGAGAAGAGGAGAAAAGAAGGGCAAGAGGTGGTAGGAACTGTGGGGAGGCCCAATCAGATACTGACCTGAGGGGTCTCTAGCCTTGACCCTGGGGGGAGCAGGGAGCCCTTGGAGGACTTAGCTAGGGCTTTGAGGTAGGCTCGGTCGACCTTGCAGGGTGGTTGGTTTCCCTGCAGCGGCTGGAGAAGGACAGCTGGAATGTAATGAGCGGGCAGGGAGAAGCCTGGAGGAAGCTGGTGCTGTAAGACAGGCAAGAAATGAGGCGACTGCGGCCGCAGGGTGAGAGGAGACGCAGGCCCCCCAGAGGGAGTAGAGGAAGAGGACAACTGGACGGGTGGGGGTGAGGGGAGCTCAGTTCTGACTGACTGCAGGAGTCTGAGAGCCTAGGGGATGGCCCCGGGGGGGAGGTCTTGCTGGTGGCCTTAGGTATTGCAGGCTCCATCCTCCAGGCCACAATGTGGCCTCGGAGAAGGCCCATCCCCCAGCCAGGACACAACCTGGCCTCTCCATGCGACCGCACTTCACTGCTTGGTGACCCTAAACATGGAGGGTCACTGGGAGAATGCTCCCAGTGGGACCCTCCTGGAGCTAAACATATGTGTGCTGTTTGCTTTCAGACCAAGGGGCTGCTCCCCAGCCAGGACCCCAGGATGTAGGGTGCCCATTGGCTCACCTTTTCTTCTGGGACACATCCAGCTCCCTCACCTCCCCCTCATACACACAGACCCAAGATCACCCCATGAGCCTTCAGGCTTTGGAAGTGGCCCTGTCACCCAGGCTGTGCTGGATTCGGGGCCCCACACCCCAAAACACCTGCCCTGCCATGTGCTCGGCACCCACTTCTCATCTCAACAGCCTGCACCCCAGGCTCAGCCCAGGCCCTCCTGCTTCCCGGAGTCATCTGCCTCTCCTCAAATGCTGTGTGCTGTGATTGTCCAGGCGATGACAATGGCGATGGCTCCGTGGGACACGCCAGCTAATTGCGAGCTGCCGCTGCACCCGGGCTGGGCATTTCACTGACGTGGGCAGGCCAGCACTGCATCTCCCGCGGCCAGCAGTTGAAGCCGAGCACAGACTTTCATGCACCGGAATCTGTTCTTCACCGCTATCCCCTTCCTGCTTCCCCAGTGCTATTTCTGCCATGGCCCACCCTCTTGTGCACACATACATTTTCGGGCACACTCTTCTACCTGCACATGTCTGCATGCCCACCAAACACATGTGTGCACACACTGCACCTGTGGCGTGTCTCGAATCAGTGACCTAAGATCATCCCAGGGCTGTATCGCTCTGACAGCATATAGGAAAATAAAAAGCAGAGAAGCATGGTCTTCACCTGTTGGTGTCGCGATGGGAGAGAGACCCAGGGCCTGGCCTCTGATGCCCGCAGCATCTCTTTCTCCCCTCCCTCTGTCCCCCACCTTGCAACTCTCACTCCTGAAGCCTCCACCTCAAACTGCGAGGGGAAGAATGGAGGAGGGACAAAGACCAGGCTTGTCCCCACCCCCACTCCCCAGTGAGCTGCTGTTATCAGGAGGCGGTTCATGCCCAGCCTGTGGGCACCAGCTCCTCTCTGGCTGGGTCTCCCAGGGGAGGCAGACGGAGGGAGGCTGGCCTTCCCCTTTAAGAGCATCCTTCCCATCACCCCTCCCTTTCCCCAGAGGCAGCATCAGGCAGTGTGGGTGCCAGAGTCCAGAGAAAGAGCCTGCAGCTCCAGGTACTGCCTAGCCCGGGGCTTCCCCTCCCCCTACAGGGTGGGCTTCTTTCTTTCCCCACACTGGTCATACCTCGCTGCCGGGTCCTTTCCAGCTTGGCAGGACAGACCCCTCCTAGGAAAGGGGGTAACCCTGGAGGTGGGGATGGATGGGAGGGGGCCTGGGAGTGAAGTAGGGGATGGTATGGGGAGGGTGGGGTGCTGGCCATGAGCTTCCTGGATTTCCTGGCTTCCCGGGCCAGGCCTGGGCAGGGGGGCAGCCTGGGCTGTCTGATACCCAACAGAAGAGGTGGTGTAATGGGGGAAAGAATACAGGTCCTTCTTTGACGTCTTCCACTTGATATTCTTGTGAACTTGGGCAAGTTACCAAATGTCCCTGTGATGTGGGGATGCTACCATACATGTTGTATGTGCCAGGCCATGAGGTGGGGTGATGTCAACTGGGAATTCGTCACACCCCAGGCCCACTCTGAGTCTTCAGGGCCTAGCCAAGGCTAGAGCCTTCCCAGAGGGCCAAAGAACTGCCAGCCCTGTCACCTTCACCTTCCCTGAGCCTCAGTTTCTCCAATCAGAGCCAGTTTGGGCCTTGATCTATCTCCAGACCACACAGGGCCTGAAGTGTCTTCTGAGGAAGGGCTTCTGGAGGTATCTTGGCCCAAAGAACACACTGGCTGGAGTCCCAAGGGGCCTAGGCCCCCAGGTCCCCACCCAGAACACACTGTCTCTGGGTTACAAGCTAGACACACACCGCACGCACTTCCCCCTCCTTATGCCTTCTGGCCCCACATCCCAGCAGCTGAGCAAATGGCATCTCCTCCCCTCCTCCCTACCCACTGCCATTCCAGTGCAAAGGGCATGGGGGCCTGGCGTGCAACATTGGCAGCTGGAGCTTTCCATGCTGCTGTCAAGTTTTCCAGAGCACAAATGAGACAGGAGAGCCAGGAATAACCTCTGGGCCCCTAGAGGGTCTGGAGGGTGTGGGCCTGCCTCAGACCTGCTTTCAGACCCTGTGCCAAGACCCTGTGCCCTTCGCCCCCATGCCTGGCCTGGGAATCGGGAGGTGCCTGCAGCCACGGGGAACCCATTATTTGGCACAAGCCCAATAGAAATGAGCACCATTCAGGTGCTCCAGCATGGCCTGGGTCCACTCCCTGTGTGACCTTGGGGAAGGCACTTAACCTCTCTGAACCCTGGTTCCTGCAGGCCAAGGTGGCAGCCTCTCAGAATCTGAGGGGATAATGGCATGAGGGACCTGGAGCTGAGCTCAGCCATGACCATGGACACAGTTATTATTTGATCATTTTTATGGCTGGACAACCCTGGACCAATTGCCAGTCTCCTGAACAGAAGCTCTGTCCAGACCAGCTGGAGGCTCAGCTTGGTCCCAGGCTTTCTACTGGGTAAGCTTCAACCTCAGAGTCCTCACCAGGGAGCACAGGGCGAAAAGACACAAATTGCAAAGCCCCAGTCTTCTGGGCAAATGGGTGGGTTGAGCTGGGCCGAGAGAACACACATCTGGGCTCTCTAAAGGGCAGAGGGAGCAAGGAGGAGAGAGCATTATCACTAACCTGGCCAGTCCCCCATCCTGCCCCTTGGGGGGTGCTGGGTGCTGGACACCCCTCCCCAGGGGCAATATTAGCCGTGTGAGTCACGGTGGGAGGCTGCGGGCGGGCAGAGTGTAGGGTTACAGTCCATTTATGGGCGCAGCAGAGGGCAGATATCAGTGTCGATGGCATTCGTTCCCAGCTATTCTTAGGAGCCTCTCAGGAGCTCCACACAGCCTGGCCAGGCAGCAAGGGACGGAGCAGGCAAGGCTGGGGGTCGGGGGTAGGGGCCCAGGTATAGGCTGGGGAGGTGGGTGCGTGAGGGCCCTCTCATTCTTCTCTTCTCTTGTTCACAGAGGCTGCCGCTCTCAGCACCAGCATGTCTTACAGCGTGACCCTGACCGGGCCTGGGCCCTGGGGCTTCCGTCTCCAGGGGGGCAAGGACTTCAACATGCCGCTCACTATCTCCCGGGTGAGTGTGCACTGCCCACACAGCCTGGCACCCACAGGGGCGGGGCACACTCTGAGGAGGGTGTGCGCATCCCTCTGCTGTCCTCCCTGAGGCTCTCGGAGAGCAGAGCATGTCCCATCCATAGACTTGGGGCTGGGACTGGCTCCAACTGGATACTGCCGGCCACAGGCCCTTGGTTTTGGCCATAGCTGTTGTCTACCTGAGCTTACCAACCTGTTGTGAGTGTGAAACATGGGCAAGTGGTGGGTGTTTTGAGCCAAGAAGGAAAGGCCAAGTTTGCTGGGTAGGCAGGCTGGTGAACAGAGTATAGTGCCTTCCTAAGCCCTTCCCTGGGGAGGGTGGGCTCAAGGTGCTCCCCAGCCTGGACCATCTCCACGGAAGGGGGCAGCTGCTTTGGGGAGAGAGCACTCCTAGCATGGAAAGGGCAGGTGACAGGCCAGCACATAGATAGGTGGACAGACTGGTGACTTCAGCTGCCCTGCCATTGGGGCTCAGGGCTAGGCTAGGCTGGTAACTGGGCTCCAGTACCCCCTTCATCCCAGGCCCCAGGTAGCAGCCTCATCTCTACCCCCTTTCCTGGGCCTGCTGGGGATCTCCTACTGGTTTCCTCCCTCACCTGGCCGGGCCCCTACCCATTCAGCCACAGCGGCTCTGCCTACCTGTTTGACATTTTATTCCTCATGCTCACCTGGGCAAATGGTCCACATGTTCTGGAGTGTCTGTGGTCAGGGAACAACTTGCTGGGGATGTCACAGATCACTAGAGATTGTCTGAGTAGCTCTACTGCCTAGCCAGGAACACTCAAGTCCAGAGAGGTGATAAGCTAGATCTGCTTGGGAGAATCTGTCTTTGTTTTAACTACTGCTGTGTTCCCAGCACCTGTACCAGTGTCTAGAACACAGTAAGCATTCAGGCAACACTTGTCAAAGGACTCTCCCGCAAGTCTGGCTGAGCTGCGAGTCTCAGACCCTCTCTCCAGCGAGTCTGAAGGCCCTGAGGCTCAGGGTGGACTGTGAGATGTGGGAGGGCAAAGGCAAGCCCTGCCTGATGGGGTAGGGCTGAGGCTGAGCTCCTGTGCTGCTGGTGTGGGCACGAGGGGGCAGGCTGAGGTTCCAGGCTGTCACTGGAGGGTGATGGATGGGCCAGGGAGCTGGGACTGCTGCCCACCGGGGGACAGGGAGGCAGTGTCTTCTCAGGGCAGCAGAGCTCTGCTGTGGTTCTGGGGGTGGACGGTGGGCGCGGGCAGGGAGGCACTGAGGTGGGCAGTCAGTGCTTGGCAGAGGGGACAGGGAGCCAGTGCCCCCATGGAGGAGCGATCCTGCTTGTGGAACTTGGTGTGGGTATTTGGGGGGGATCCGAAGAAGGAGAAGCCCCATTCAGGGGTGACATAGGAACTTCATAATAGCTACAAAAGCCACACTCCTCCAGCGGGGGGCACTGGCCCAGCTCTAGTCCCAGGAAATGGCCATGTTCTCCATCCTGCCGGAGATCTTGTTCATCTGACTTGAGTCTCCACCCCTTCAGTCCCACTGTCCCAGAAACCGCAAGGTGCAGTACCAAAAGGACACCCAGAGCCTTGCACACCCTGCCTGATGATGTGGTGATACATGGGCATTTGAGTCCCAGTGGACACTGCCCCTCCCCCACTGGACCCTGCACTGCTCTCAGGTGGTTACAGGTTTCCTGTATGTCCAAGGAGGGGCCGTCTACCCTCATTGTCATGGATCCACAGGCCTCCCATGCCTCAGACTGAACCCACATCTCCCCCAGCCCTACAGTCCTCCAGGCCTCATGCTGGTGCTCCCTGCCCCATCCCTGCAGGTGGAAATTAGCCTCCTGTCGCAGTGGCACCCAGGATAGTCAATGACCTCACCCAGGATCTATGCACCACCTGGCCTCAGCCAGCCCAGGGCTTATATTGCAGCACAGAGGACTTAAGCTAGACAGCAGGAAGAATGTCCTCACTGCAAGGAAAGGGTGTATTGGGATGTCATGGAGCCAATGACTAGGGGGACCTTTAAAAATAGAACCCGCGGCTCATGCAGGGCATCGGGGGATAGGTACAATGGCCTCTCAGCCTCCTTCAGAGCCATGCCCCAAGTCATCAAGGCTGGGAACAGGCTGGGATGGATGCTGGATCCTCCCCAGGGCTTAGAACCTCTTCACAAATTTCTCGGGTGGGCCACTGATATCCTGGGCTTGGGCATCCCAGGCTCAGTGCTACTGGCCAGGTAGGGCCCAAGACACTCCCACCAGGCTGTGGTATTTCCTGCTGGGGCTCTCAAGGCCCTTCTGGACCAGGAACTTCTTCCCCAGTGGGATGCAGGGCCAGCGGATGCTCCAGTGTCCTGGCCTGAGCCTTTGCAACAGGGCAGTGGTGGCATATTGCAGCGGGGTAGGGATGGGGGCAGCAAAGGCAGGGCTCGCTCATTCTCAGCAGGGCCAACAGCCCTGGGCACCTGGACTGCAGTCCTGAGAGAGGTGGTTGGGCAGGCGGGGCTGCGATTACCGTCTCGCTTCAGAGCGGGGCAAACCGAGGCTCGATTTGCCCAGGAGCTCTTGTGACCTTAGGAACCCCTAACTCCCTGGCCTGCCGCTCAGCCCTTTGGCTGGGGATTAGTAACAAAGTACTGAATGGGGCCTGTCCCCTGTCAGCTGTAGACATAGGCTGCTCCTCCTGGAAGAAGGCTGCCACCCTCACGCTGGGTGGTACCTCCAGTCCCCACCCGACCCTGCCCACCAGAATCAACCTTAGGGCTGTAGCAGCCCCCCTCCCTCGCCCAGTCTCCCTTCTGAGGATCCACAGAGAAGTGGGTTCAGGAGGGAGAATGAGAGGGTGGAGGGGAAATGCCTTTATTTATCCTGGACAGGTGCGGCTGGGCCTGCAACATGAGCTCCCCTCTCCCCCCGCCCCTCCATCCAGCCGCAGCCAATTCTCCAGGAAGTGGGGGAGGGGTGGGAGCAGCCGCTAAGGAGCAGCTCCAAAGGCCCAGCCCATTCGGGTCCAAGAGCTGGGGCAGAGGCAGGGGCTGTGGTCTGGGGCCTTGTCCTTGGTGCGTCGTGCAGCCCTTGACTCTACTGAAGAAGTGTGTGTTTTTGTCTGGCTCTGCTGCTCACAGTTATAAAATTCTGTGCACCTGTTGTTCCACTGAGGTGGTGGTGAGGATGGGGGAACCATGGGGCTGAGCCTGGACCCCGGTGGGGGGAGGGGGGAAGGGTGCCCGTCTCTCTGCACCAATGCCTCTATCTCTTACAGCCTTATTCGCTCGGCCTAGCAGGCTCTCCTGGGGCACCAGCCCAGAAGCCTTTGTTTCTTTGCTGTTTTTGGTTCCAGTATTTGTCAGATCTCCTAGCTACAGTGGGGACGCAGAGGACGGAGGGTCCCCTGGGAGGGGGAGGGGGACAGGCCGAGACTATTCTGGGGCAACTGTGCCGGCAATTCCTGGAATTTCGAGGCCGTAGTTGCTGTTTCTTGGGCAGCACCTAGCAGTGCTGACAGGCTGTGCTGTTTATAGCCACCCTGAAGGTCAGGCAAGCCTCCGGAGGGCTGCTGGGAGGCTGGCCGGGGCCTTCCCAGATGAAGGAATAGGGAAGATAACCGGACAGAGGCCCGTGGCTGGGGAATGCATTCTTGGAGGTGCCCAGGCCCTGCTTCCCTCCCAGGTACTCAGAGATGTCTTTGACTCTGTGAGGGCCCTGAAGGGAGTGGGCATGAAGCTGGCTGGGCCCTGAGGAGCAGACCCTCCAAAGCCTTGGGCCAAGACCTAGGACAAGGGCAACTTCATGGGCAGCCCCCGGGGCTCCTCAGGCTTAAGCCACTGTAGGACAGCAGCAAGTGTGAGGAAGGCCGGGCTTCCTGAGTAATGCCTACTAGGTCCCTCTGGGGCAGCCCTCCCAGAACTGTGTCCCCAGTTCCCTCCGTGTCCCTCTCTGCATGGTCCCCCATCATCCAGAGACTGTCCATGATTGCAAAGGCCCCCTCACCGGAGGCCCTCACATTCCCAAACACAGCTTCTCCACCTCTTTGGAGCCAGGAAACACCTCTATGCTGGGATCATCCTAAGAGGCATGAAGTGGACTTTACCATGCCCCAGTGTTGTCTGGGGCCCACTGAGAGTGACACCTAGGACATCCAGGAGAGAACTGTGGGAAAATAGGAGCAGAAGAGAGAGACTCAGAAGGTCCTGCAGGGAAGGGTGTGATCCGCAAGAGAGGGGACCAGTAACTCCTGGTTTGGGGTACAGGGAGGTCACTTGCATGTGTGGAGTGGTGGGGGCTGATGCTAGATGGCTGGGTGTGAGAGGGATGGGAGACAGTCAGAGGCAGGACCTGCTGGTCATTCTTGGAGAAGCCTGAAGGTGAAGGAAAGGAGAGACATGACAGGAGCTGGTTGGAGCAATTAAGGCAGGGAGATCCGTTTTTTAAAGAC